CAGCACAGAAGTTTGGCACTAGACAGTATGCACAGCAGGAGCAGATAGCCATATTTGGAATCTTGAAGATGCAAAGATCAATGAATGTAGATCATGTAATCAGCCAACACATGCAAATACAAAGGAAATCATCACATTTGAAAACCAGAACAGAACAGGCAACAATGGAGAACAAATGCATGACAATGCAGTACATGGCTATGTTTGTAATAGGCTAGTTTTTATACATATTTTAGTCCTTATTTTTCATATTCTTATTAGATCATATTGTAATATCAATTTTGGGCCTCACAAGCTCAAAGTTGGTAATAGGATCTATGTAGTGCACATATACTATCGTCTTACTCATCGTAAGACACCATGCTACTTGGTTTTATTTTATTATATATATATATAAACTAGCCCTAGTCACACTGCCTAGTGGATTTACTAAAAAACAAAATGTTCATACTAGTTCACATTAATCTTGTCAAACTCAACAAATCTTCACCTTGGCAAGATTTCATTTTTTTTTTCAATTTTTTCTCACTGATAAATTTTGATTGTGTCTTCAACTTCAATCTTCAAAGTTCAACAATGTTGATCAAGTTCAAACAATGTTGAAACTTGATCGCAGTCACTACTTTTGTTAGCATATCAGCAGGGTTGTCTATAGTACGAATTTTTTACACCGTGACTCCACCTTCTTCTCTAATATCTCGTATAAAGTGATATCGAACATCAATGTGCTTCGTCCTTGCATGATAAACTTGATTCTTTGCTAATTGGATAGCACTCTGACTATCACAAAATAGTGTGATGCTTTCTTGATCAATACCAAGCTCTCTAAGCAATCCTAGAAGCCAAATTGCCTACTTTACAGCCTCCGTAATTCCCATGTACTCTGCCTCAGTAGTAGACAAAGCAACCGTTGACTGCAAACTAGACTTCCAACTAACTGGTGCATTTGCAAAAGTGAAAACATAACCAGTAGTTGATCTACGCTTGTCCAAATCACCCGCATAATCCGAGTCACAATATCCAACTAGATACTGACTATCTTTCTGCTCAAAAATCAATCCAACATCTACAGTATTACGAATATACCGTAGAATCCATTTCACAGTTTGCCAATGCTCCTTTCCTGGATCATGCATATACCTGCTTACAACTCCGATAGCATGTGAAATATCAGGTCTTGTGCAAACCATTGCATACATCAAGCTACCAACCGCATTTGCATATGGCACTCTTGACATATACTCTCATTCAGCTTCATTCTTCGGCAACATAGCAGCAATAAGCTTAAAGTGAGGAGCAAGAGGAGTGCTAATCGACTTCGTGTTCTCATTCATGCCAAATCGATCTATTACTCTCTTCAAGTATTCTTTCTGAGATAAATAGAGTTTCTTTGAATGTCTATCTCTTTTTATCCCCCATGCCAAGAATTTTCTTCGTCTCACCCAAATCCTTCATCTCAAACTCCTTTCTTAGTTGAATCTTCAACTTCTCAATTTCCTCTTGACTTTTGGAAGCTATCAACATATCATCAACATATAGGAGAAAATATATGAAGGATCCGTCTTCAAGCTTGCACAAATACACACAATGATCATATTTGCTTCTTTTGTACTTCTGCCGCAATATAAACTTGTCAAATCGTTTGTACCATTGTCTAAAAGATTGTTTCAATCCGTACAATGATTTTTCTAGTTTGCACACCATATTTTCCTTTTCAGCAACTTTGAATCCTTCTGGCTGAGTCATATAGATTTCCTCTTCCAAGTCTCCATGTAAAAATACAGTTTTTACATCTAACTGAACTAGTTCCAAATTCAATTGTGCTACCAAAGCCAACAAAACTCGAATGGAGGAGTGTTTCACGACCGAAAAAAACACCACATTGTAATCAATTCCCTTCTTTTGAGCGTACCCTTTGGCCACCAATCTTGCTTTGTAGTGAACATCTTCTTGGTTAGGAAATTCTTCTTTCTTTGCAAATACCCATTTGCACCCAATTGTTTTCTTGCCATTCAGGAGATTGGCCAATTTTCATGTGCAATTCTGATGAAGGTACTGCATTTCTTCATTCATGACAATCCTCCACTTATCTTCTTCTGAACTTTGGACTGCGTCTTTATAAGTGGTAGGAACACCATCAGCTACAATTGATGCTGCACAAGCCACCGTCTCTATGAGACGAACAGGTTTCTTTATTGTTCTTTTTGGCTTACTGGTTGCTATTGATTCAAGTTGTTGTTGGGGTTCCTGAGTTGGAATCTCCCCTTCCACTAACTCTTCTTCCAGGGGAAAATCTTCTATTGTTTCCTCATTTTCTCCCTGTGTTGGGAAAATTAATTTTTCGTCAAACTCCACCTGCTTTGAAGCACCATCGGTTTGTTTGACATCTTCAACTATCACCTTATCTATTATGGCAGATTCATCAAAGGTAACATCTCTGCTGAATATAATTTTTCTTGTCTCTGGACATCATAATCGGTATCCTTTGACTCCAGAAGTAATCCCCATAAATATAGCTTTCTTTGCCCTCGGATCCAATTTTGACTCTTTCACATGATAGTATGCAATTGAGCCAAACACATGCAAAAAATTATAATCTTCAGCATGTTTTCCATACCATTTTTCAAATGGTGTCTTGCCACCAATAGCGGCAGATGGTAGATGATTAATGAGGTGGCATGCATATATTATTGTCTCAGCCCAAAATTCTTTGCCCAAGCCAGCATTAGACAACATACACCGAACCTTCTCCAGCAAAGTCTGGTTCATACGTTCTGCCACTCCATTCTGTTGTGGTGTATTTCTGACGGTGAAATGTCTCAAAATGCCATCATCTTCACAAATCTTATTATAAAGATCATTTTTGTATTCTCCACCGTTATCTGTGCGAAAACACTTTATCTTTCTGCTTGTTTGAGTCTCTATCATCGCCTTCCATTTGAGAAAAATTTCCAACACCTCATCTTTGGTTTTCATAGTATACACCCACACTCTTCGGGAAAAGTCATCAATAAAGGTTACAAAATAGTGTTTCCTACCTAATGAAGGTGTTTTGGAAGCACCCCAAACATCAAAGTGAACATAATCCAAAATACCTTTAGTATTATGGATAGCTGTTCCAAATTTAACCCTTGTCTATTTTTCCTTGACACAATGCTCACAAAACACCAAATTACAAGTCTTTACTCCTTTTAACAATCCTTGATCTGATAAAATTTTCAAGAATTTTCCTCCAGCATGTCCCAAGTGCATGTGCCATAACTTGGTTGCTTCTGCCTCCTTGTCATCACTGGATGTCACTATTGTTATCCCAAAAACTGTACTACCGTGATAGTGGTACATATTATTATTTTGCCGAATTCCCTTCATTATTACTAGTGTACCGGAGCATATTCTTATTATCATATTTTCTGCAATGACTTTGAGTCCCTTTGACTCTAGGGATCCTACAGAAATGAGATTTTTCTTCAATTCTGGTACGTATCGAACATCTGTTAATGTTCTGATCAATCCATCATGGTTCCATAATCGGATTGAACCAATACCATATGCGGTAAGAGGATTGTTATTCGCGGTGTGAATAACTCCATATTCTCCTTCTTGAAAAGCAATGAACCAGTCCCTGTTGGGACACATATGATAGCTACAAGCTGAATCCATCAGCCATATGTCAGATGGTTTGAATGGCTCAGTTGTAACTAGTGAGAAATCAAAGTCGTCACAATCAGCTACATTTAAATCCATGACAGACTTCCCATTGTTAGGTTTGGCCTTATTTTTCAACTTTGGACAGTCTTTCTTCTAGTGCCCTCTTCTCGGCAAAAGGCGCATTCATCTTTGCTGGGTCTGGATCTTGACTTGGATCTTCCTTTCTTCGTTCTCATATGATTTTGAGAACGACCTCTCACAACCAGTTCTTCTCCTTCTCTACTCTTTTGCTTTTCTCTCTTTCTTTGTTCATAGTTGTATAAGGCAGAACAAACTTCTTTGAGAGATACTTCATCATTCCCATAAAGTAAAGTTGTTTCGAGGTGCTCGTACTAATCGGGAAGTGAACTTAATAACATGAAGGCCATATCTCCATCACTAAAGGTCACGTCCATATTCTGCAAATTTGTCGCCAACTTATTAAAGCTGGTGATATGATCATTCATTGGAGTACCAGGAACATATGTGAAGCGCAACAGTCTTTTTTTCATGTAAAGTTTATTTTGACTGTTTTTCTTCAAGAATTTATCCTCCAATGCATTTCACAATTTACTTGCAGAAGATTCTTTTGTGTATGGATACTTCTGTTCTCTTGCGAGATAAGATCGAATGGTACCACAAGCAACGCGGTTGATAATCTTCTAATCTCTTTCTCCGATATTATCTGGTTTCTTTTCTTCTATGACAATATCTAGCCCTTGTTGAAAAAGGATATCAAGAACCTCAGCTTGCCACATCCCGAAATGTCCTGACCCGTCAAAAATTTCAACTGCAAATTTCCCATTTGACATAATTATTATCATAAGCGAAGATGCCAACGACGTATTACTGACACCCGATGTGGACTCTTCATTTTTATTATCTCTCATTTTTTGCTACAGATACTATTTATTTGCTGACAGTACAGAACACCAAAGTAATTCTTTTCTGATGTGGAAGTTCAGACTATGCTGCAACCACAGAGCATACTAAGATAGAACCTTGGCTCTGATACTAATTGTTGCGGAAGCCGAATATATAGAGAGTGATTAAATCACAACTATTATATCTAAAGGTAACTAATAAATAGTAAATGAGACAATAATAAAAAGAACACCAGAAATTAACGAGGTTCGGCAAAATTTAATTTTTGCCTAGTCCTCGGACACAATCAACTCAAACTTTATTTCACTCCAATAAATACAAGTGAAATACTACAAGAGAGAAAGAAGATTCAAATGCCTTAGGGGATAAGAAGGCAAGTGAGAAATGTTTTCAAATGAACAAAACCCTTGCTATTTACAGAAGGGAAATGGTCTTAATAATGTCATGCATGATATCATATTAAGTGTGATCATGCAATGTAAATGCATGAAAAATGCATCTGCCAATTTCTTCCTAAAAGGAGGCTTCAAATGTTTACACTGGTTAACATTAATCTTGTCAAATTCAACAAATACATAATATCTCACTAGTGCTAACAATCATATCCTCACATAACTATTTCAGGTTTCAATATGCTAGATTTGATCTCCTTGTGGGGCAAAACTACACCTCCGTTGCTGTAAATTTCATCACAGACATGGACATCTTCTCCAAGAATGGTCATGTTCTCTACACGAGCCCATTGTCCAACCGTAGAATGCCAGCCAATGATGCTACTTGAGATGCAGGCATGTTTCTTGATGCGGACTCCTCGCATCACGGTGCAGCGGGAGAGTCTAACTCCAGACTCAATAACACAACCAGAACCAATTGCAACATCTGGTCCTATCAAACAACCCTCTCCAATCTTGGCAGACTCATCCACTATGACATTTCCAACAATGTGAGATCCTGAAGCCAATTTAGGTGAAGAATTCTTCTTTAAAGAATCCAGGTAGAGTCTGAGGCCAGCAATGTAATCTCTTGGCTGACCAATGTCCATCCAAAATCCTGGTAAGACCATAGCATATAGTTTTTCCTCTGCTGCAATTTTTGGGAAAACCTCTTTCTCGATTGATGTTGGCCGTAATTGAATTCTATCTAGGACAGAAGGATTCAGCAGGTAAAATCCAGCATTGATCTTGTTGCCAACAAATAACTTTGGCTTCTCTACAAATCTCTCTACTTGCCCTGTCGATTCTTCCATGACGACAACACCATATTTAGAAGGCTCATCCACCTACATCAACCGGAGAACTTTTACCTTTTGCCTCAGAGATGTTGGAATATCCAAAAATTAAGTTTAATTCCAACAGAATTAAAGCTAGGAATTTTACCTTGGTCACCATCAAGGAAGCCTCACCTCCATGGGATTTGTGGAAAGCAATCATCTCCTTGAAAGGATATTCACTGATAACATCACTATTAAGAACAAAAAAAGGTTCACCAGAGTCATCAATCAGCTTATCTCTAGCCAAAGCAAGGGGACCTGCAGTGCCAAGTGGTTCAGTTTCTTGAGAACAGGTGATCTTGATTTCAAGGTTTGCCTCGAATTCTTTCAAGAAGTTGAGCATTACCTGCACCAAAAGACGCTTCTATTCTGTTAAGTTTACAACTATCTAGACTTGGAATATAGCAAATTTGTAATGGATAAGAAAATGACCTCAGGTTGGTAATTAATAGCCAGTACAACTTCAGTTACTCCGACTGCCTTGAGAGCCTCAATCTGAAGAAAAAAGCTTAAGTCAAGATGAATCGTTTAACCACAAAATATTCTAGACTAACAAAGACATTGTACTACATATGCTTTGCTTGCTTCTATTTTAGTTCACTTTTTGAGATCATAATAGAACAGATGCAGGGGGAAGGAAAGCTCAGTACAATAAATTCTGAACATAACACATATTTAAGGATTTTATAGCAATGAGAGGCTTAACTATAACACAAATATAACAAATTTGATGATATACTTAGCTAGAGCAATAAGACAAGTCAAATTGTCTGATACAATTCCAAACCAGAACAAGTAGTTTGTAGTAATAACAATCCAACAACCAAATATATTGATTAGTAAAAACAAATAAAATACGCATATTTGGTGGAATAGGATTGTAAATTGAATAAGCATATTAATGAAACTAGAGGGTATTGTGGAAAAGTACCTGATGCAAAATCATGGGTTTGTTGGCAAATTCAACTAATGGCTTTGGGACACTGAGCGTCAATGGCCTCAACCGAGTACCGAACCCTCCAACAAGAATAAGCGCCTTCATTCTGATATATCAAAGCTCCTGCTAATATAATAAGGCAGAATTTCAGCACAAGAGCCTCACGCATCAGATCCAACGAGTAAAGCTTCCAAGTTATCATGCAGTTCTAACAGAAATATGCCATTAATTAGAGAAACTACATTATCAAATTAACCATAATAACAGAGGAAGACAGAGATGAGGCGTTGAAATATAGAAATTATAAATGAAAATCGAGATCCAGATGAAAACTCAAATTAAAGAATGAGTAGCAGGATTCACCTTAGATCTAGAAAATCCAAAGACTGAGTTGCAGAAAACGGATGGACTAAAGCAACGACGGAGTCAGAGAATTTTCAGAACCAAACAACAACAACGTTGGGAAGTGTCTTTAGGAAGTTTCTGTGGTGTTAGAAGATCGTTGGATAATGGAGGGATATATATACACACAGCTTTGTTAAGTAAGGTATATGTAACTAACAATGACTTTTTATTTTTGAAACTCGGATTACATTTGAAATCGGTTGGCGTTCGATTGCGTTTCTTTTTCTTCTGATGGACTAAGATTTTAATTGTCCTTTTTTATTTTAAAAAAAGGAGTGTTAATTTCTGAGCTGACATTATGGGGAACGGTGATTGGGTTGCTTCTAAATCACGGGTTAATCATGAGGCTGGCGTATACTCTGCCTTGTTGGCAAATCAGCGATAAATTGAAGTCCAGTAGGTGGAAAGGCCCCTAGGAATTAGGATTATAGAATATACATTTACAGTTTAGTCACACTTTCGATTTCTCATAGTTGCAGAGTATCACTGGATTTCAGTATTTTAAATACCAGTAAAATGTTACTTAATAAAGAACCATTGTTTGAGCAAAATTACAAGTGAAATAATAATTTTTCTCACAAATATTCAATTTGTATTTAGAGAAAACACAACTATAACTTCCAAATAGTATTTCTTTTCAACTTCAACTCAAAATAATTTTTTTAACTTCGACCAAATATTGTACAAAAGCTTACTCTCTGTATACGGTCGAAATAGGTTTCGGCCTTAGCACGTCCGATCGAGTTCAAATGATGATTTATCGAAGTGAGATCCCGAAGGTGGAGCAAACTATCCTCGAACCTGGGAGGCCGATCCGTGTCAAAGTTCGATATCATTACCAAGCTCGAATCAAAATCTACCATGCTGACAATTCAGAGACCAACCGACATTGACCTCGAATCAATTCGAGGGCTCGATCCAGGATCGGGCTCGAACCAAGATCATGAGTTCGAGCCGAATTCAAGCTCAAACCAAAATCGAGGGTCCTAAGCAAGATCGAGCTCACAGACAAAAGCCGTTGCAATCCCACTAGAGAGAATCTTGGCAGAAATTATGGAAAAGATGACTTATCATGGGTCTCTCACTGAATGTATATCTTATTATGCTTAGAGCAAAATCCCTCCACTATAAAAGGGCTTGGTTACTATTTCTGTAGGACAAGTTTTTGAGGGTTTACATTGTAATAAAAGTGTTATATTCTTCTACAATAAAGAATTGTTCATTCAGATTTCTTACATTGATTCTATTTGTTGAATCCTAAGATTCTTTGTTCCTGGCAACCTTACCTATTTCGGATTCTCTCTAATCTATATTTATATTTTTATTAATCCTTACATTTTGTGTCAAGTTACGCCACATATCCTCAGAACTCCGTATAAATTCAATTCTATCCATTTTTCGGGTAAACAGTTTGGCGCCCACCGTGGGGTCCGAGGATAACAGTGGTTATTTGATACAAATCTGAAAAAACACGCCATTGTGCCTTGCACTCATTTCCGAAAACATCTTGAATTTCGGATCAGCTGCGAATAACCACCAATCAAATGGCTTCACCAATCGATTACGAAGCCGGCCTTCAAGATGAAACCAACAACTTGGCACCTGGTGCCGGAAGGCCAATTAACGATGGCACCGAGGCTCAAATCGAAGTACCCAAAATTCGAGCCGAAATACCACTGGATGTCAATTCACAAATAGCTTTGGGGGCAAATCAGCGCTCCGAACCGGAAAGATGCATTCAGGGCGGTACTCGATCTGTAGCCCGAGATACCCAAAATGCGGGAGAAATCGGGGCCAGCTTACGTATGATCTTCGAGAGGCTACAAGCCCAACAAGTAGCGATAGCTTAGCTACAGAGCCAAACATGTGACATACGGGCCTATACGACCGAAATGATCATTTATACACTCAAAACATAGGCCGACAAGGTCATACAATCATTCATATACATGACATATATCTACAAGCCTCTAAGAGTACATAAACGTCATAAAGGCCGGGACAGGGCCCCGCCATACAAATCTATACATGTCCAAAGTATTCTGACCAAATAGGCAACTCCTGAACAAGTGGAGTGAACCAACACCTTCTGCTGAGCTGATAGCCTACTAGGAGGACTGTCAACCTATCTATCGGGACCTTTGGGCATGAAACACAGCGTCTCCAGGAAAAAAGGGATGTCAGTACAAATAAAGTACCAATTATGTAAGGCATGAAAAACAGTGTATAAAAGACATGAAAGAAACATGGAGTAAAGAACTCAACCTATAAGTCTGAATAGCTCTGTGAATCATGAAACATTTATAATGTCATGCATATGCGTATAAATGTCATATCATGCATAGGTATATGCGTACATAACGTCATAAAGCCTCTGAGGGCATCCCGTCATATCATGCATAGGTATATGTATACAGAATGTCATCAAGCCTCTGAGGGCATCCCATCATATCATCTCGGCCTCTGTGGGTGAAATCATCAATGTATACCAGCTGATTAGGTGGAAGTGTGTATATAACACCGTAACTTTTCCCCATACCTCATGTACATAATATACGCGTATATAACGTCATCTGGTCATGGGTCAATGTATATGTATAAATGAATGCAATGCATAATGAAGTAAGTCAATAAGATCTCTCGAAATTTCATAAGATCATTATGCCTTCGGATAAACTTTATCAACTTACGTATTTTCTGAGACCCATGAACAGATGATATAATAATAGGACACATAGGGAATCAAGAACATAGGCAACCCTAGTACTTCTAGGAATAGAGTCACTTGTGAAAGTTGTGTGTTTGCTAGTTTCGTTGTATCATATGGATCATTCCAAAATTAAAGAAGGGATAGACTTAATATACCTTAACTCCGTTGAGTCCTTAATACCTTCCAAGCAATTCTTCAAACAGCTCAACTCAATCTACCATAGCATAAGGAGATTTAAAATTAGTGTTGAGTAAAGGCTAAGTCCGCAACTTAAACTAGTAGCTCGTTTATGAATATTTGGGCAGCATCTCCCCTGTAAAAAGGGCCTCCTCCAATACCATATACCAACAACAAAAATCAGGGCAATACAATAAGAACAACATCAACAATAGGGTACAAAATATTTCATTAATAAGTCATCAACATATGACGACGAGCGGCAAGCTCGGATTGAATCCCTTTGGCACTCTTTAACCCATTATCATTCATTCTTGAACTTAATAATATATACAGTATAATAACCAATACCTTTTAAAGGATGTCAAACCTTGTACTCAATTTCAATGTTACCCAAAATAGCCTAACACAAGATAATATCACTATGGACAACTTCCAAGTGCTTTATAGCCATTTCTTTTCTAGTTACCAAATTTCATCAACAAGATTGACATGTAAACCAACATAATCATACTAAAAATATCATATCCAACTTAGTTTCCATAATTTCCAGCCATATGAAGTCGTATACACAACTCCAAAATAGTCCAATAAGAGACAACAACTTCTTATACAACTTCAAGTTCTATCTTGTAATTCTTCATCCAAATAACTTAACCAACACATAGATAAGATTAAGCCCAAGAAATAGGATGTTATAAATACCTTAAATAATCAGAAAAAACTCGAACCAAAGCTTCCCTTAGCTTACAAGCACCCTTAATGGCATCACAACACCATAGAGTCTCTTTTCTTCACCTAGGCTAATCTTTTGAGGTTAGGTCTAGGAAAAACAACCTTGGATTCGACTTGGAACCATGAAGGACTGTTAGAGAGGTGTTGAGAGAGTTTGGGAACTGTCCTTGGTCTAAAAGGACCAAAATTGAGCCGTCCAAAGCCTTTAAAATGCTCAAGGGTCGTCCATCGCCTAATTGGGTCCCATTGGGATCTTCTTGCGCAGTCTCGCGAAAATGCGAATATCTCTCTACTCCGATGTCGTATCGATGAACGGTTTAATGAGATAGAAACAAGACTCCTAGATATTCAATTTGGTATATGGTTTATCCTGTAATTCCAAGTATATTAGGAGAAGCTCTGCTACATTTGACCTTATTTTCAGCACATTATGAATGTAACTTGTGATGACCTTTGTTAATTTTTGTTCCACAACTCGCTTGACTTTAAAATGCAACACACGACTATCATACAACTAAAATAACTCATAACATAACCTACTTATTATGTTAATATCCCTAGTCTCACCCCAAAGTACATGTCATAACATTCCTAACTTGTCCACTTTCGACAAAATTTATTTTCTTTGATTCGTTTAGCTTCTAAGCCTTCCAACCCTCTTGGTACATGTTATCCATGATCTTAAAGATTTTTAACCTCCACGGTAACATGATTAATTTAATTTATGTACTTTCAAATATAATCTCATTTCTGAGCTTACATCAATTGACTTACAATGTACTCTCACGTACGAAAATATGGGGTGTAACATCATTCCCCCCTTTAGAATATTCGTCCTCGAATGTTGACTAATGCGCTTATCAGTCTCATAACCTATAGTTCTTACAAATACTTTAATTCTATCCTTGCCATCTAGGCAACTGTTCTATGAATAAATCCAAAGGCCAAGTCATTCCCCCCTTTAGGCCTCTTTCTCACACCACGACCTGTGGTCAAAATGTTTTCGATCTCGTAACTTTTGCTACCTTCTGTCATGCAGCCTTTACGATTTTGTCCTTATTTGTGCACCGATGCGACTCTTCTCTCCCTTTTCCTTCAGCTTTTAGCCAATCTCTAGGCCTCACCTTGTGAATATATATAGAACTATGATAAGTTGTCCCTCTGGGCATCTATAGGTATACTGAAGTTCTTCACTTAGTACTTTGTCGAACATACAACTGTTGCTATATCTTGTTTCGCAGCCTCGGATATCTATCCTTATGGCTTTACTGCATCTAGGTAGGTCATACTATGCCCTAACACTTACTTTGGTTTTATTATTACCGAGGTATGCTACCCAACTCCAGGTTACTCTCTCACTGCTTATCCTATATGTATAAATCTAAGTCCTTTAATGCTTCCTCATTACTATTTATCTTAAGAATGATAGCCTAATCTCATCTCATACTTTGAAACTTTTATCCATCCATTGTTGATTCACCTTAATGTTGATCCATAATCTACCACTGATAACTTTAAACCTCTTACGTAATATATTGTCACTAGGGCTCACGCTGCATCGGGGAACATTTGAAGTGATTTTCCTGA